CAGCCAGGGACTGCGTGGACGTGATGCTCAGGCGCCCCTCATGCACCATGCTGTAGGGGTCGGCGTAGAGGCCCTCGTTCTTCACGAGCACCATGTTCTTCCCGGCCATGTCTTCATCTGGCTTTACGTCCCGGCGTTCCAGGATAGCGCTTGGGCTTGGCGAGACCCCCTGGGCTGGAGGAAGGTTGGAGAGCCGCTCGCCATGGTGCACGGGGCTGCCGGCGTAGGAAGGCGGGCGGCCACCACTGTAGGACATGCGGGAGCGGGACGGCGAAGACGACTGGAGCACTGGTGGAGGCGATCCAGAGGTGAGGTGAGAAGCAGGTGACATGCTGTTTAGGCGCCGGGTGGGAGAGGACTCCCTGGAAGTGTAGACCATCTCTCTCTGCGAGAATAAGTGATCAGACAGTGAGAATGTTATAAACTCTACCCTCCTTTACACACCAGGCCCAGGTCAAAAGTTGCAAGGAAAAGGTGGGAAGAATAAAGCTGAATGAAAACCAGACCCATCACTCATTCCTGTCGCCTAGCTCACACAAACAGAAGATGGAAGTGGTAAAACCCGACCTTACCACTTCAGACTGCAGCAGGGTAGGGGGTGTACAGGATGCCTCCCGGTGAGAAAAACCCGGTATGTACAAATTTGGCTTACCAGAGAAAAGGCTAGACCAAAACCATTCTCCCTGGCTTAACTGATTTCTATCTGGAATGAACTGCATACAGCAGAGAACATTGAATAATGTAATCTCCCATTTGTAGTACAAAGTGGTAAAATCCTAGAACCAGTTCACCACTGGTGAACTAGGCCTATTGGTGGTGGTAATCTTCTCTGATACCTCAAATTCTGCATCGAGAGCTGAATTCTGCAACGTGAATGCATTATGAAGAACAAATATATTGCTTTAACTTTTTATTCACTACTCCCATAAATCTCCTGCTGTGCTAGTGATGCTAAAAAAAGACGATAGACAACCCTGACACAGACAGTGTAAAAGAACATATCCTAGGCATCTGCAGAACGGCTTCGTTTGCAAGGTGACCATCATCTGGATTGTGTTCAATGGGCAGGCGTTGCTGAAATGTTCCTTAGTAATCTGCCCCCCCCCCCCGCACCTACCACCGCACTAACATCCAATGAAGACAAAAACAGTTCAGGGACCTTACTGCAGCCCACTGTCTTACCCTCAGGTCTCCATTGGTGATGTGGGATCCGGGGAAGGAAGCATAAAGGGGCTCTTTCCGGTAGATTTTGATAATGCTCCTATCCTGGATATCTCTGCAAGAACAAAGGCATTAATGGAACAAATGAATGGCAGCCTTGGTTATTATTCCAAGGGCCAGGCTATGCATGGCCATGATGGCAGCAGTGACAGCTGCACAGAGGCAGCCTGACGTCAATGGCCCACACCACTGTTGCTGGAGACTATTGGGCAGGAGTCTTCCTCTTCCTCGATATTGAGGATTTACACATCTCAACAGTGAGGATTTTTTTGCAGTAACCTGTTGTTGGGTTTAGATGTGTGAGTTTGTCTGCACAATTCTACCTCTGGCTTTTGCACACGGATTCTGTGCTCTTGCTAGTTAAGTATGGGGCTGAAATTGCAACACTCTCATCAAGAGAATGCTTGGATAAGTGGTATGAAGAGATCTGGCAGACAGCTATGTTGGGAAAGCTAACATGGAAACTGTGGGTAGCAAGAAAAGAAAAACGGTAAATTCTACACAGTATGGGGCAACTTTATTGAACACACAGGTAGTGAGGCACATGGGGGAGTAGTGTTTGGGGTGGGTAACATAGTTTGGAATACTTGAAGTATACATTTTAACCTTTCAAATTGTTGCAGATATAATGTATTCCTTCCTTTTAATGAGATTTAAGCACATGATGTGTTATTTTATGGTCTTGGAGTTTATGAAAATGTTTGAAATATATGCTGGGGCAAACTTTCTTTCTTTCTTTCTTTCTTTCTTTCTTTCTTTCTTTCTTTCTATCAGAATGCTGCCAGACTCCAAACGGGAGGTAGGGGTTGTGGCCCCAAAGCATACCTTTAAAGCACACACACCCCTTAATCCTGGAAATGGCAGTTTGTTAAGGATTCTGGGAATTGTAGCTCTGTGAGGGGTCAACTAAAGTACCCAGGATTCTTGGGGTGGGGAATGTGCTTTAAACATGTTTTAAAGGTATGGTGTGTGTACACAGTCAGAGAGTCTACCCAAGGGCAGAAATGTGACTGGTCTCTGACCTATTAAAATGGCTTAGATGGGATATGTTAGACCAGGGTGGGGAAACCCTTGCAGGTCTAAGGGCTGTGTTCCCTCATGTACCATCTTCTGAGAGGACTGCATGCCTGTGGTGGGCAGGGGCAGACAAAAGTTGCACTCCATCTGCACAAAAGCCAGATGTTTTCATACGGATCCCAACACACACACATACCCATCTTTTCATCCTCTGCCCTGGCAAGTAAGAGGCATTATCACAGTTCAATGACATCATCCAGCCAGGCAAAGCACCTGAGGAGCGTATGGTGTGTGGTCTGAGAGCAGCCCTGAGAGCTTGACCGAGAGGCCTGGAGGGTGGCATTCAACCCATGAGCCAGAGGTTCTGCACCCCCGTGCTAAGAGGTTTCTGAAGAGAGTGATAAAGCAGCAATAACTAGGGAAGCACTGTGGTTTAGGTGTCTCAATAATTATGAACAATGCAAAGATAATTGTTTTTTTCCCCCTTCTCCCTTTCTCAGAATACTGTGGGTCACCCAATTAAATTGACTGGCAGTCGATTATGGACGGACAAAAGAAGCACTTCTCCACATAGCAAACCATTAATTAACAGGCTGGATTGGCTGCCACAAGACATGGTGATGGCCACTGGCTTAGATGGCTTTATAAAAAGATTCACAGATTTATGAGCGTCTATTAGCCCTAACAACTAAATAAATAGAGCCTCCAAGTTCAGAAGCAGTAGACACCTGAATAGCAGGCAAGCAATTAGAGAGGTCTGTTCCTTTCATGCCCTGTTTGTGAGCTAGCTGTCCCAGAGACACCTAGCTGTCCACTGTTGGAGACTGGATGCTGGGCTAGGTAGTTTGAGCCAGCCAGGTCCCTTGTATTCTTAATCCCTTGAGCAGGAAGGAAGAGAAGACCACTGCTGAATGTGATGGCAAACAGGTCTCTCTTTAGTCGCAGCAGTTTTGAAAAAGAATATCTTACTGAAAGATTTTTATAGCTCTATAACACATTTTCCACTCCTGTCCCTAAGCTAGCTACTTCCTTCCTTCTGCTCAATCTATTACTCACACAGACTGTGATCCTAACCATATCTACTCAGAAGTAAGTCTCATTGAATTCATGGGGTGAACTCCCAGTTAGGTGAGGCTAGGACTTCAGCCTTATTTGCCAACTACATTTCTTATATTGCCCATAAGAAAGAAAGAAAGAAAGAAAGAAAGAAAGAAAGAAAGAGGTTCTCTGGGTGGTTTATAGTAAAAATGTTAAATTTGCTCCCACGGGATGTACTGATGGCCACTGACTTAGATTACTTTACCTTAGTTCCTGAATGGCTTAGTTGTCAAACAAATTGGCTCCCGAATGCCACAAACCTGGAAGTAAGTGTTCCGGTTTGCGAACATTTTTCGGAAGCTGAACATCCGATGCGGCTTCTGCTTGAGCGCAGGAAGCTCCTGCAGCCAATCGGAAGCTGTGCCTTGGTTTTTGAATGGTTCCAGGAGTCAAACGGACTCCTGGAACAGATTAAAATCGAGAACCAAGGCACCACTGTACCACTTAATGAACAGGTGATTTCCAAGTGGTTTACAAAACATAAATATCAATTGCACAATGCATAACAATTCAAAATACGTTTAAAAGATGACCGCACAGATTCATGGAGGATAAGGCTATCAATGGCTACTAGCTATTATGGCCTACTTCCACTGTCTGATACAGGATGCTAGGAAGGCCAGTCGTTTGGAGTCACAGGTGGGGAGAATGCTATTGTGATTGTGGTCTGCTTCTGGATTTCCCATAGGACCATCTGGTTAGCCAATGGGAGAACAGGATGCTGGACTTGTTGAACCTTTGGTCCAGGTGGGCTCTTCTTATGTTCCTATGCTGGTAGAGGACTTCTTCCCTACTCCTCCTGCTCCTCCTTCCATCACTGCATTCACCCACCTCTTCCCACCCTCCTTCTTCTTCCTCTAGGCTTCCCATGCCCAAATTAAATTAGGCCAATGGCCTCATTTGGCCCTTAAGGCCGCAAGTTGCCCACTCTTGATTTAAAGTTTCATACAAGCACAGTGAATGGAGCTCCGGGAATGAAAAGAAAAGGAGGGAAATAGCAGACTGGTCATATAGTCCTCTACTTGGGCGTCAATGTCACACTTCCTCCAAGCATTTAGTAGTGCCTCCAGCAAGGCAGTGCTCTCACCTGACATCCTCCAGCTCATAGAAGACATTACGGGATTCGTCCTTGATCAGGATGGCAGTGTTGGGGGACTTGAGCATGCCCATTGTCAGCTTCTGAGGAAACATGTGGACAATAAGGGCATGCAGAGTGTCCATGCTGCTGATTTCGTGGGTGATGTGAACCCGTCTTGTTTCATCCCCAAACTGCAGGAAAAGGACACCTAGGAAAATAGGAAATGGTGTGTGAGAGAGACAGAGGAGACTGGAGGGAAACAGGTCAAGAAATGCAGATTATCAGTCAAAACAACTAATGCTAGCCTAGCAGAAAGGAAAGCTTCTGGGTTGCACAAGACTCTTCTTCAGGTGGTAAAGTGTTAGCAGAAAGAGAGTCACAGAGTCAGAACGAGAGAATCATCTACTCACAAATGTGACCCCCACACCAACTGAAATCTCTTGGGAGGGGGGAGAGGCTACTGAATGTTTCATTCATCTCAAAAGTGCATTCAGTGGCCACCTGTAGAAGACATCAGACAGTACTTGTACCAAAACTCTGATATTTCTACTAAAGAACAGGGCCTTTCCCCATCTCTCCTTCAGACATCTGGATAGCTCAGCTGGTTAAAATGTGGTGCTCATAATGCCACGGTTGCAAGTTTGATCCCTGTGTGGGACAGCTGCATATTCCAGCAATGCAGGGCGTTGGACAAGATGATCCTCGGGGTCCCTTTCATCTATTCTGTTCTGTTCTGCTCTGCTCTGCTCTGTTCTTCTGCTTCAGAAACATCCACAAAATTCCCAAAGGAGTGAGTAGTAACTGTGTTACAGTCATACCTCGGGTTGAATGTGCTTCGGGATGAGCACGTTCGAGTTGCACTCCGCGGCAACCCGGAAGTAATGGAGCATGTTACTTCAGGGTTTCGCCGCTTGCGCATGCACAGACACTCAAAATGACGTCACGCTCATGCGCAGAAGTGCCAAAACGTGACCCGCGCACGCGCACACGGGTTACGTTTGCTTCTAGATGCGAACGGGGCTCCGGAACGGATCCCATTCGCATCTAGAGGTACCACTGTACTTTGTGGCCACAAAACCAGCAAAGGGTTATACCTAACCAAGGTCTACTCAGAGTAAACCCATTGCAATTAATAGCTCTAAATTAGTCATGTCCATTAATTTCAACGGGTCTAACAATATACCTGAAAGGCCACAGGTTCCCCATCCCTGGGGAGAAAGAGAAAGAGAACAAAAGAAAAAGCAGTATGGCCAGAGGAAAATGAAAACGCAAGAACATAGACCGTGATAATTAAGTTACAGCTCAAACGTAAAAAATAATTACAGTGATCACTCACTAAGCAGTGCTGATGATAATAAACATCTTGGCATTGGGTTTCTATTTGGTGGAGTGTATGTAAGGGAGTAGTTAGAGGCATGATTCCCTGCTGGTATCAGTTCAAAAAAGAGCCCTGAATGGGCTTTTCCAAATACGTTTGTAATTTTTATTTCTTTCTTTCTTTAGAAATGTTTTCCCTCAATCACCTTGAGTTAATTTGCTGAACGAGCGATAATTTGTAATATAAACAAAAACAAGCAAGTAAATTACTATAGGAGTAGTACTAATAGTAGTAGCAGTAACAGTGGTATTTCTGTGCCATCCCATAGCCAGCTAACTGGGTGGCAGATATAAAAATGGTTAAGATAAAAATATGGACCAGGAGTGGCTGGCCCTCGGCATCTCTGACCATTCACCAAGCTGGCTAGAGCTGACGGGAGTTGCAACTTCTGCATGGCAACATAATGGGAACCCAGGTATGAACAGTAAAAAGACTAGCTTCAGTTATGCATAGAAGCAGAGACTATGCGATTAAACTGTACACAAACACAGGTCTTTAAAAAGAAGCCAAAACCTCAAAATCTGTTGTTGTTGTTTTCAAAGATACACAGTCTGCTAAACTTCACCAACCTGGTACCCTCCAAAAGTTTGGGGGCTACAACTCCTATCAGCCCCAACCAGCATGGGATTTGTAGTTCAAAATAGATGGAAGGCATCAAGTTAGCAAAGACCGTGTGCCACTAACCTGGGGAATTGCAGTTGTCTTATCAGCCAGCCCTTGGGACTGTGGCTTCTGTTGCTGAATTTCAGGTCAGCTCTGAGTAAGAGCTCCCTCATTCATGATTTGATTACACTGGGCAACAATTTTTTACTTTTTGAATGTTGTCTAGATTTCTACAACTGATTCAGGGTATTTTTGCACTGCTGAATCGGGAAATAGCATCCGTTTCTCTCCATCAGGTCAGGTTTTTGTGTGATGTTGATTTGAAAAAAATCAGATCTTGTGACAAAATCGATTACGTTTTTGTGGCATTATCAGCTGATTTTTGTCAACACATATCATCCTAAATATGTTTTTAAGAGAAAAAAATGTTTTCCCAACAACATATATTGATCACCTGATAGAAACATCGATTACTGTAAACTGAATGGTGGGCATTGATAAAGGTAAGTACACGTAAATTGCATGTTGCTTCACCATTTTTCAAACTTCAGGGCTTGAACTTCCATTTCTTGGAACTCCAGGAATGCTCAGCGGCAGGGAGGTCTCTCTTCAGAGTCCAACAGTAGTCAGCCATCATAACTACGTCCCAGCGACCCTGATACCTGGTCTCCATCTCTTTCATGTCCTGATGGAATCTCTCCCCCTGCTCGTCACTCACTGAACCCAGGTTCTCAGGAAACCGGTCCATATGTGAAAATAGGTAGTGCATCTTGACACTCATGTTGCAGCCCAGGTTTCTGAAAGCAGTCAGCATGTTGTTGACAAGTTCTGCGTAGTTTCTGGCCTTATTGTTGCCAAGAAAGTTCTTCATTACCAGAACAAATGCCTTCCACACTTCCAGTTACACTTTGTTCATTGAGTTTCCGAACTCTGGATCTCTGATGAGCTGACGGATCTGAGGACCGTCAAAGATGCCAGCTTTCAACTTCCCCATGGTCAATCCTGGAAAAGCCTGGCACAAGTAAGTGAAGCAGTCACCATCCTTGTCCAGAGCCTTGGTGAACTGCTTGATTAAGCCGAGCTTAATGTACAGCGATGGGAAGAGTATTCTGTCTCTGTCCACCAGAGGGTCGTTGATGACATTCCTTTCTTTGCAAGGCACCAATTCCTCCCGCACGGGCCAGTCCTTCTTCATGTAATGCTGAGCACAGTCCCTACTATCCCACATGCACAGAAAACATGGGTATTTGGTGAAGCCAGACTGTTGTCCCAACAAAAAGTTCACCATCTTCAGGTCAACACAAATAAACCACTTATGCTGATCATAACCAATTTTCTCCAGCACATACTTCACCGCTTCATGGTTCTCCTTCAGTGTAGTCGAGTGAGCCAGGGGTATAGAGGCAAACTGGTTGCCATTGTGTAGCAGAACACATTTCAGTGATCGCTTGCTGCTGTCAATGAACAGTCTCCAATCTTTGGGTTCGTACTGTGGCACTCCAAGCTTGAGCAGAAGCTGCGCAAAATCTGCACAGTACACCAAGTCCTTCTCTTCCGAGAAAAAACGGAGGTACTCTTGATGCCTGTTGCGGAAGAAGCTGATGTGAGCACTGTCAGAGAGGAGGTTTTTTCCCTTCAATCTGGATGCCAACAGTTCGGCAGAGTCCTTTGACAAGCTGAGGTTGCGAACTAGATCATTCAACTCCTTTTGGGAAAATGGATGTGGAGCACCATCTTCAAGAACCACTTCTTCTTCTTCTTCATGTCCTTCAACACTGGAGGCATCTTCGTCACTAATGTCAGGAAGTTCTCCGAAGATAGGCACTGGAATTTCATCACAATGAGCTACAGGACGACGTGCTGATTGAAGATCAGGATACTTGAGGCTGCTCCGGTTCTTTCTGTTGATCCCAGTCACATCAACAGCGCAGAAGTAGCTGTCAGTGACATGGTTTGTCGGCTCCCTCCAAACCATGGGAATTCCAAAGTTCAGACTCCTCTTGCCATTGGTCCACCCACGTAGAGTCTCGGTGCATGCCTTGCACACCATGTGTGGCGCCCAAGCTTTATCCTGGTCACCAAGTTTAATACCAAAATAACTTTATGCTTTGCCGCACCAATTTATGGAAGATTTCGAGGTTTTATGACTTCAAACTGATCCCTTTCCGACATAATCACCCAGAACTATCAGACCTGAATACTTCTCATTAAAATAATCATTTCCAATCAAAACAATTATTAGACATGGCATTTTACCCCCACCAACTTCATCTAAAATGCTCCACACAAGCGTACATGTGAACAAAAACGTAAAAAAATTACATGTGTCCATAGCTCAAAAACTTGACCTGATTGAGCAAAACCAATGTGATTTTTCAATTCAGCGCATCAGATTCGTCCTAAATCAACTGAAAAAACACAGACAACAAATTTGTTGTTGACCAGTGTTATGGATGAGGAGGACCACCGGGTCTGTGTCACTGAGACCTAGGTGGGTGAGCAGGGCAGAGTTGGTCTCATCCAGTTGTGCCCACCTGGGTTTTCCGTGCGGCATCAGGGCAGGACTTGAGGGTTGGGGAGGGAGTGTTGCTGTAGTTTATAGAGATTCCATTTCTCTCTCCAGGCTCTATGTCCAGTTACAGGGAAAGTATCTAGTGCTCCTGGCACTGGGCAATCGGGACATACTAGGGATTCTGTTGGTTTACCACCCATCTGGCTGCCCATAAGTCTGAGCTGACAGAGCTAGTTTTGGAGGCAGTGTTGAGGATTCCCAGACTGATGGTTCTGGGGGACTTCAACATCCATGCCAGGGCTCTGGGGTGGCTCAGGACTTCATGACTGCCATGAAAACCATGGAGCTGTTCCAACATGTCACAGGACTTATGGCAGGCCACACTCTGGACCTTGTTTTTTCAAATGGGCAGGAAGAGGGGGATCTGAAAGTGGGGGGTATTGACACCAGTCCCTTGTCATGGTCACATCACTTCCTGTTGAGATTTAAGCTTTGGGTACCTTTTACCCTCTGCAACCACAAAAGGTACTTGGAGCAAAATAGCTTCAACTGCAGGTACCCCTGAGCCCCACAACAGAAGCAACAAGGGTGACAAAAGTCGGCTTTCTCAACAATGAGATGTGTTTAAAATCAGGATACATCTCTGCTAACTGGGGATGCTTGAGAAACAGTTCTTACCTGGAGACCGGAGTTTTGTTTGGCTGGTGGAACGGGACAAAGGCAAGCTTTGCCGGAACCGGTTCATCCTGTTAAACCCAATGGGCAGCTCAGCTTCAGACATGGTTTCCAGAGACTCGGCAGAAGCAAAGGAGAGTTTGGCTTGATCGGCCAGGCCAGGCTGAGAGCCCTGTGAGTGCCGGGAGCTTCGGGTCTGAAAGTAAAAGAAGAGAGACAGAGCAACATGATTATGGAGAGCAAAGTGTTCTTTTTCTAGAAATGTGGCATTGAACAGATTTCACACGTGTCATCTCTTCCCAATCACCTTTTCTAAAAAGGCATTTTTGATCATGAAGATATTTCATGTGCCATGAAACGCAGCAGCAGAAAACATCCCTAAATATTTTTCCCCGCAATATACATATGGTACATATCAACGCCTAAACATATCTGTCCTAATCTCTGGCAATTGATATAGGGACTCAAAGTATAGCTACAAGCTTCAACTGG